TTACTTTATTTTGGTAATTTCCAGTAATTGTCCTGTCTTTGTTTTTATAAATATATTTTTTTGTTTGTTTTTAGTTTTTTTTGTTAAAGGTCTGACATAATTGTGGTAAATTAGAGTTCCAAATCCAAATTTGAGACAAATTTTTTATATTTTATTAATAATTAGTATATTACAATTTTGTATCATCTGATTTTGTAGTCGTAGGTTCCAGACTCTTTATTATAATTATGACACAACATTTACCACATTACATCTAACAGTAGATGTCCAATATTCATACATGACAGAACAAAAAACTAAATGCAGAAATCTTTATTTATTTATTTTCTATCTTACCAAATTCTGACACCGTTATTAAACAAGATAGTTATTTTTGTTATTTAGTATTTTTATTATTAAAATAAGAATGAAGAAGTAACTTTACAAACAGGACAAAGATAGAAATGAGATAAAGAGTGCTCTGAGTTTTTCAGGTAGGTTTAGTATTCATGTGTCACATGATGATGCTGGTGTTGTACGTGAGCGTCGGGGTTCGTAACGCTCAGAATCTCTGTCTGCGTCTCAGGGCGGGAAGATCCCGATCCGCTGGACGGCTCCTGAAGCCATCGCCTTCCGTAAGTTCACCTCGGCGTCAGACGTCTGGAGCTACGGCATCGTCATGTGGGAGGTGATGTCGTTCGGAGAGAGGCCGTACTGGGACATGAGCAACCAGGACGTGAGTGAGGTTTCAGAGCGCGGTATAATCTGACGGACGAGTGTGTTCTGAGCCGAGTGATGATGACGATGTGTGTATGTGTGCAGGTGATCAACGGCATCGAGCAGGACTACCGCCTGCCTCCTGCCCCAGAATGCCCTGCGTCTCTGCACCAGCTGATGCTGGACTGCTGGCAGAAGGAGAGATCGTCTCGCCCGCGATTCTGTGCCATCGTCTCTGCCCTCGACCGACTGATACGCAACCCAGCCTCGCTCAAGATCACCGGACGTATACCAGGTGTGAGCGTGTGTTTGCGTTTGTGTGTTTCCGTGTGTGTGTGCGTGGGTGTGTGTTTCCGTGTGTGTGTGTGTGTGAGTGAGTGTGTGTGTGAGAGAGAGTGTGTGAGTGTGTGTTTGTGTGTGTGAGAGAGAGTGTGAGAGAGAGTGTGTGAGAGAGAGTGTGTGAGAGAGAGTGTGTGAGTGTGTGTGAGAGAGAGTGTGTGAGTGTGTGTGAGAGAGAGTGTGTGAGTGAGTGTTTGTGTGTGTGTGAGAGTGTGTGTGTGTAGCAGGAAGTGTTTGGGTGGGAGGCTGAAGTGGAAGTTAATCACCGTCACTGCTGCGTCCTGCACTTTCCATTCTGAATGTGAACGGATGAGTTGCTGAAATATTCCAGCTGTCTATAAAACATCTGTACATGCGCAACATGTTCCTTAAATTCAAGCACAGTGTAACACACACACTAGCAGTCAGAAGGTAATATAAATAAAGTTAAAAAATTTTTTTTTAAAGAAGTCTCTTCTGCTCACCAGGGCTGCATTTATTTGATCAAAACTACACTAAAAACAGCTAAATATTATTACAGTTTAAAACCGCTGTGTTCTATGTGAATGTGTTAAAGTGTAATGTATTTCTGTGATGCGCAGCTGTATTTTCAGCATCATTCCTCCAGTCTTCAGTGTCACATGATCTTCAGAAATCAGTATAATATGCTGCTCTGCTGCTCAACAAACATTTCTGATTATTATCAATGTTGAAGACAGTTGGGTAACACTACTTGAAGGGGTGTGCATAAGACTGACATGACACATGTCATGAATATGAAGGTTTTTTATGCATGTTTTTGACAACTGTCATTAAGTGTCATTCGCTCAGTTATGTCATTTTTAATGCAAATATGACATTATTTGACCTAACCCTACCCCTAACCATAGCCCATAACAAAGACATCTCTAACAATGTCATCTTTGCATTAAAAATGACATAACTGAGCGAATGACACTTAATGACAGTTGTCAAAAACATGCATAAAAAACCTTCATATTCATGACATGTGTCATGTCAGTCTTATGCACACCCCTTCAAGTAAAGTGTAACCGACAGTTGTTCCATTTCTGTGGAAACTGTGATATATTTTATTTTTCAGGATTCACAGATGAATATAAAGTTCAAAAGAACAGCATTTATTTAAAATAGAAATCTTCTGTAACATTAGAAATGTCTTTACCGTCACTTTTGATCAGTTTAATGTGTCCTAGATGAATAAAAGTAACAATTTCCGTAAAATATTACTCCAAACTTTTGAAAGGTAATAAAAATAAAAATAAATTTCATTTAAAAATATTTATTTATTAAGGAACCAATTAATTGTGAAATGGTATTGAAGCAGTTGGTAATGACTAAGTAAAGATTCCTTCAGAAACACTGACACATGTAAGAACGCACTCCGAGAGAGCAGCACATGTCAGATCTGTGTTATTTGTGGACGTGCAGCAGCTGCTTCTCAAGGCACAGGGCTGGTGATGTCACTTCCTGTCCCTGAGTGCAGTGCTGTGTGTGATTGACGTGTGTGTGTGTGTGTGTGTGTGTGTGTGTGTGTGTCTCAGGCCGTCTCACCCTCTGCTGGACCAGCGTCCCCCGCCGCCGCTCTCTCACTGCAGCTCAGTGTCCGACTGGCTCCGGTCCATCAAGATGGAGCGATACGAGGACAACTTCCTGCAGGCCGGATTCACCTCCATCCAGCTCATCTCACACATCTCCACCGAGTGAGAGACACACTCACACACACACACACACACTCACATACTCACACACACACACATACTCACACACAAACACACACACAATCACATTCACACACATATACACACACAATCACACTCACACTCTCTCTCTCACACACACACACACAATCACACTCACACATATACACTCACACACACACACACACACACACACACTCTCACACACTCTCACACTCACACACAATCACACTCACACATATACACTCACACACACATACACACACTCTCACACACTCACACATATACACACACTCTCACACACACACACACACACACATATACACACACTCTCACACACATATACACACGCTCTCACACACATACACACGCTCTCACACACATACACACGCTCTCACACACATACACACGCTCTCACACACATATACACACGCTCACACACACATATACACACGCTCACACACACATATACACACGCTCACACACACATATACACACGCTCACACACACATATACACACGCTCACACACACATATACACACGCTCACACACACATATACACACGCTCACACACACATATACACACGCTCACACACACATATACACACGCTCACACACACATATACACACGCTCACACACACATATACACACGCTC